TATTCTCACCACACTTACTCTTTTATGTAATTTCCTCCTGATTTAAAATGGGGCTACACACTGATGACTTTCAATTATCTTCAACCTGAACTTCACCTTTGAACTCCAGACTCAAGCATCCAAAAGCCTGTTTCCCTCCAGACATCATGTCTACCCCAACACTGTCCACAACTAAACTCTAAATCTTGCTCCTTTTCAGTCTTTCCCTCTCAAAGGGCCACGTCATTTTTGGAGCTCTTTAAGCCAAAACTCTTGAGCACTCTCCTTTTCTTATACTCCACACCCAACGCATCTGCGTATCTTATTTACATGTATTGACGATCTGATGACTTATTTCCACTGCCCTTGCTGTATTATCCTCCTATTCCTTTTTACCTGCTCTGATCAGAACCCTAATGGCTTCCTCCTCACTATGCCCATATGGTTACCTACAGCTCAGCAGTCATCGTTCCTCATCCCTCTTAACCTTACCTTCTGCTGCTCTGCTTACCAGTCACACTGATCTTGTTTCTTAAGACACCGAGTATGCTATATGAGCTCATGGCCTTAGCATACACTATTCCTTCCACTTGGAATCGTTTTTTGCAGATACCTGTATTGCCCATTCCTCAGGTCTCTGGCCTAATCACTTGTGTTTAGACTGTTTAGAACAGCAATCCTATGCTCACACTCTCTCACTCTCATCAATTTATTTCCCCCAAGTAATCCTATTACCATATGATAAACTATGTATTTTACTTAATAATTCAAATGAAAATCCCACAAAGCTAAGAGTTACCCGCTGTATGCCATTATATGTTAAGGCCTCCTAGAATACTTGGTGTAGTTGGGATCTGTTGAATTAACAGTCTATGAGGAATACGAATACCTTTATAACAAACCAGGAAGTCCCAGCTATTTGTCTACACAATATAGTAAAATTGGGGAAAAAATTCTTTGGTTCAAAAACCAAAGTATAGTCACTTAACATCTACTAAGTGATATTGATGGGCCCCTACCTGAACTTCATAGTAATACTAAGTGGCATTACTTCTGCTATTTTACAAAAGCAGCTCAAGATGTCAGAGGACAAGTGATTTGTCTAAAAGTGACATAACAGGGATGTGGTAGAGGAAATCAAATTTATGTGCTTAGATATAACTTCCATTAACTCTCAGTATGTAAAGTAGTTTCAGAGAATACAAAACCCAAACAGGTGAGCATTTTACATTCATAGCTAAACTTGCTATAAGCCAATTTGTTTGTATGATGGAGTAGTACAGGTAAACTACATCAACTCAGTAAAAAATTATGCTATCCTTACATAATTCTGCATATTTATAGAATGCAGAAGACTGCAAGGTAAACATAGCAATTCATGATCAGTTTTATTAAGACTGGTGTTTGGGAAAAGGTAAATAAATTGTATTTTAAAAGATCAGGTCAGCTCTAGTGAAGTAAAAGTTCCCTAGACAAATTTCTACAATTAAATACTAGTGACAATTTACCCAAGTTTTGGGGCAATTCATGTTTCCACGATCTGTAAGTTTACCATAAAAGCAAGACTGCTTTGTGGGCTTCCACAGTATAACAATGGGTAGTTACATCTATCAACCAAAAAGGACTGAGTCTTAAGCAATTTACATCTATCAACCAAAAAGGACTGAATCTGTTACCAAATATTCATGAAATAAAACTAATTTCACTAAAAAATTATATGATCCAGAATACTGAATAATTCATAGTAGCCTTTTCCACTGCAGAAATTAGTGAAATTTTATTTCTCTTTACTCTTGAAAATCCTTACTTGCTTGAAATGTTTCCTTATGATGACTTCTCGTATCACTCAAAAAATGACACTTTCTTAAGAAGGGAAAAGTCTTCCTTAGGAATACAAATTCTTCAGCAATAAGATCCATTTTTTTTTGCCTATTCTCTTATGTTAATAAAGAAACTTACTTAAATTATACATGAAAAAGTTGTCAATTTATGCGCTGCTTTAGACATTTAGGAAGCACGAGTGGTGCTACAAAACTTTAGGCTTCAGGATCCTTAAAAGCCAAAAACAATTTTATCAGATGACAAATTATCACCACAGTACTAAATGCACTTCCTCAAGAAAACAGTAAAACAAATTGAGTCAGCATTACTACGTGTTCCTCAAAACTAACTCTTGTAATTCTTTCCCAATGGCTATTAGGCAGAAAGGACATGGTTTGCTGAAGAAATACTTCGAAGTGGAACGTTTCATCAGCAATATATTTATGTCTTGTATCTGAGTGACTCACCATACCCTCTATGCTTAAAAGCTCTACTTATTTCAAAATCCTCCTACTGCTCCCATCTCTTGCCCCTGCAAACTCATGGCACTCGATAGTTACGATAAATTTTTGGTTTGCTGGATGAAAGGCATTTGCATTTAAGAGATCCATTCCTCAGGGTCCATCTACCATCCCCGTGGGAGGCCTGTAAATCCTAAGAAACAATCCCGAGTAAAACTAAATCAATAAAACCTATCCTTTACATATAAAAATACTACTGGTCAAAAATGTATTATCAAGAATTTTATGAGCAGCATTTAAAAAACAAGAATTACTAGCCAGTAAGAAATAAATATGGCCATGCAGATTTAGATCAGCACATAATATACCATTTTTTACCAATTATGTTACCTGAATCCTTGGCAATTTCTCACAAATCACTAAAAGTTACTGTCCCCCAGGGATCATTAGGGGTTAAGGGGGAAGACCTCCGTATTCACTCAGAGTTGAGGCTCAACACCTGGCTCTACTTTCTTCAGTAGTATTACATTTCTATACTATTCTATAAGAAGCAAGTCAACTCCATGTTATAAAGCACCATAGAGTATTATATTCTGTACAAAGGAAATAAATCTGAAAGTTTTACAACAGAATTCCTGGGAAGGCACTTTAGTCATGAAAGGAACCACAACAGCTAGATTTCTTTCTTATAGTTCAGGCTCCTAAATACTGTCCTCTTTACTTAACATCTAAAGATTTTCTATAAATTAAATGCTGTACACTTAAGAAAGAAAGAAGGGACATAGCCTACATCCTGACTGAAGAATTAGGAAGAGTAAATTTACCTCCAAAAGAGATGAATGTTACAACTTTAAGAAGGCTAGGGGCTGGGGATTTACCTCAGCGGCACAGTGCCTGCCTGGCAAGCGCGAGGTCGTGTGTTCGATTCCCGGTACAGGGAAAAAAAAAAAAAAAAAAAAAAAAAAAGAAGGCTAAGGACAGGCAAGATGGCACGTCTTTAACCCCAGCACCCTGAAAGGCTGAGATAGGAAGATCCCAAGTTTGAGCCTCGCCTGGGCAACTTAGGTGAGATCATTAAAAAAAAAACACAACAAAAAAAAAACCAGGTAAAACATGTTAAGAGAAACAGAACCAGGGTGAGGTGAGGGCTGTTGATTTTAAGAAAAAAATTTAATTTTCATTTTCAGACTCAAAAAACCTTAAAGGTATTCTTGGATAGGTAAGAAAGTAAGCACTTTCATATATTTTAATTTTTAAAAAGCCATCTAAAAGTTTTAAAAGTTTCTTATTGTTCTCATAGTGAAGAGACAAGGATATTACCATTATTTGAGGCTACACACAGATATAAGATTTCACTTAAACTGTTTCAGAAATAAACAAAAATGGACAATATTCTTCAACTTTAAAAGTTGTGCGCCTTACAGAGAAGAGTCAATGAAATTACAAATTCAAAGGTCTAAAAATTTAAATATTTTTCTTATGAGTGTCATACTAAAATATTCATAAGATTAAATCTTATCACTGTTAATATGCTCAATTCCAATAATTCAATTTGAATACTTAAGAGGAACAGTCTAAGAAACTTATCTTTTATCTACAAGATGTTTAGGAAAATTGTTTCCAACTACTACACTGGTGTTTTACAAAACTGTACAAAATAATCTCATTAAGAAGGCATGTAATTATTTCCTCTCTGTTCATTAACCAAAAAGCAAGCAATAAAAGCTTGAAATTCCTACTAAGTAATCAATACTAAAATCACTCCTTAAATATATTTATCATCCAAACCAACATTTACCTTAAATCAATATGTTTTCTTATTATGGAAAAATAGCCTATTTAGTTCTCTACACCTCTACAATGAAACTAGAAATACTGAGGGGGGAGACTGTGAAAGTGAGTGAAGTTTTTGTATGACTGGGATACTGAATGGTGTGAAAAGGAAAGTATAAACAGGCCCACTGCTAACTAGAAGGTACCTATTTTGTGAATTACAAAAGGCTGCCATCTCTTCAAATTGTGATAAATAGCAAAACTATGACATTATCAGTGTAAACGGCCTAACTGAATTTGTAGTTACACTCAGAGTTCTCTCAAGGTTCTTATCTTCTCTATATATATGTTGACTAAATCCACAACAACAGAGGTATAGTTTTCTTAAGGCAGACAAAAAATGCTCTCAATAAAAGTCCCTGCAGTGACAACAACACAGGTTCAACACTCGCCATAATTCTCGCACAAGGATAGTTAATTTTAAGACCATTAATTTGTCAACCTTTCTTTTTCAAATGTAAAAGAAAGCTCTTAAATGACAGAAATACAGAAAACTTAAAATTCATGTTAAGAATATACATGCAATGCTCATTTATGCATATTAAAAATACTAAAGGTGAGAAAAGAAAAATAACTAGACATAATCTTCCAATTTTAAACTCTTTAGAAAACGTGTGTGCATAAGACCTTTGCAGCTTTTACAGAATCCCAGAGCCGAAAGCTGGAGCACTTCTGAAATCTAGAAATGGTATTGTACCAGCTGCATCAGAGAATCATTATCCCAGAAATCAGTATTAATAATTATCCTTCCCAACTGTGCAAAGATCAGTAAAACGAGCCATATCATCATCACACTACACTGTCAAATACTAAAATCTTTAAAATTCCCCAAATTCATGGTTATTTAGAACCTCAAAAATTCAAGATTTCAAATTTACAAAAATAAATACCACTCTGACACTCAAGGGACATCTTCACTTTAAGGCCTTTGTCACAAATCTGAATCTTTATTGTTAAAAACATAACTTGAAACAAAAATGTCAATATTCAGTCTCAGAAGAGGTGTGGTTCAATGCCCATCACATGTAACAAGAAACTTCCTTTAAAAAAAAGGAAAAAAAATACTATCAGTCTTTCGTATGAATGAAAATGCACCCTTTCGATCTTTTCCCCTCAACTCATTAGCTTGTATACATATGGGAATCAAAAAGTTTGCATTTTCTTCACAACAGTTCTTGCTATGATGTTTGACGGATTTTTTGCCACTCAACAAATTCATCAAGAAGAACAGGCCCTAAAATAAAGAAACAAGGTTTGTTAGAATTCAATAAAGTCATCTCTGCAACTATACAACAAGTTCTCACAGCTTTGTGATAACAGGCGCATGACCTGTCCTTCCTTCAGGTGTTTTGCTTCTAGCCACTCTCTTCTACTTAGCAGTGCTTTCTTAGCTTTTGCTGTCTTGCCCTTAAAATCATAAGGGCCTTTGGGTAGTAAGTAGTCACAGCAATTTTCTTCTCAAGGTACTTCATAAACCCTCCCACAACTGAGTCAATATTAGCCCCTCTCATAGCATTCTGGCATTTGATTACAAAACAATATGAAAAGTGTGTAACTTAGTATTTCTGTTACCCCATTCTGTGAGCATGGGGGATTGGCCATTGTTATGGCTGATACGTTGTGTCAACTTGAGGAGTCTAGAGGTTTGACTAAGTGACTCAGCAGTTCTACATCCTGGGGTGCAAAGGACACGCCCTTCCTGCCCTAGGATGTTATTCATTGTGTCAATGTAAGAAGTTTAGAAGGTTAACTATGTGAGTGCAGCCCCCTGGGTAGGGGTAGCCTTCTTACAACGTAAGGGAGAGAAAGAGGCTGCTTGCTGCCATTCCCCCTTTGCTCTTGTTGCTTTGTTGTCTTCCGCCTTGGAGCCAACCAAGTATGGACTGAAACCTCCACAAACTGTGAGCCAAATAAATCTTTCCTTCCTTAATTTTGGGCGCTGGGTACTTTGTCTCAGCAATGAGAGAAAACTGACTAAGATAGCCATATTAGAAATTTATCTTACTACTGAAACAGGACATAGCACAAAGCAACTGCTTAATAAATATCCATTACTCCAAAAAGATATTTTTATAATGCTCTAAGCTTTCACTTACGAAAGTCTGAAAGGCAATTTAAGTGAAATGAGTGTTTTGTTTGTTTTTTTAAAGGAGGAAGAATCCATACTACAAAGTCATATCATTGTCCTATTTTTTTCAAAACGTATCACCTTTGGGTGAGCTCTTTTTTCCTTTGCTTTTAACAGACATACTTCTCTACTGTGAGAAAAACGAGCAAACACAATAAATGGCAACTGAAAAACAGCCTGGGGTTGGCATATTGTTCAGACTGTCAAAATGCAAATCCAGTTCAACACAAGCCACTCCTGAGTTACAACCTCTGAGTCTCATGAGGACCACAGATATAGTTCTGTCAGATTTTCTTAATTTTCAAATAAGTGTACAAGCTTTACTTTAATACAAAATCTGTTTTGAATGTTGGATCAACAAACATGAGTACAGATATCTGCAAAACTATATATAGCCCTTGGGATCTCAGTTTACTACCATAGGGTAATTATTTCTTGAAGAATACCACATATGCAAGAACAAACAATGAGAATTCTAATTATCCGCGTCAGTATCTTACCACTTCAGTGTGACACAAGTAAGTACACAGTGTTAAATGACATTTATAAGAAAAGCACGGCACCATGTAGTCCCTTTGAATGTTACAACAATGTATGCAACCAAAATGCCAGTGAAAACTGAAAACTTACAGTTCTAGAGAATTGAGCTTATCTAATTACTCATTATTTGAAAATTCTATTTTATGGCATTCTAACCACTCCACTGAAGAGTGCTGCTACTTTAACCTAAAGGATTAAAAAAGTGTACTACTTCACTATCAGTATACTCAGAATCTATAATTTTCAGAGAGAAGTCACTGACATTATTTGTCATACTGTCAAATGTCAATGTCAATGAGTACTATGTTAACATTAAAGCTTTTTCTACTATAATTGATCTGTTTGGCTTTGCTACTTTTAAAATCATGACTACATTTTTCTTACCCAGGAAAAGCAAGAAAAAAGCATAGTACAGATATTAAAAAATTTTAGTATCTATATATAGAAATTATCATTTAAATTTAGCTATAATGTAAATGGTTACTTAGGAATGGAAAACATTTCAATTACTAGCATAGATTTTATAATATTGTTGAATCTAAGTTCTCTGTCTGTCTCCCTCATTTCCTGTTAAGTAATAAGTTACCATTATGTTTGAAATATTTATGTTAAGCTGGAGATGTAGGTCAGTGGTACGGCACTTGCCTGGCCTGTGCAAAGCCCTAGGTTTAATTCCCAGTATTGCAGGAAACACACACACACACTCCTTCATGTTAACAGTACACAGATGCATCCTATCATTTAATATTTTCAAACATTTCCTTTATACAGGGATACGTTATACTTACAAGCACCATCTTCATCGTAGTTACTAAGATCTGCATGGACTGTTCTGCTGAATTCTAATACATTGTACCACTGATCCTTGTTCATAACACGATACTTTGATTGCTGTGGGAAACAATATAAACATTTGTACTACAGAACAAAATTACTTATTAGGGAATCTGTGATTTGGTTTTTCCTAAAATATTTATTCTTCTATTTTTTTTAGAGAATATTTAAGAGCATATACATGTTAACATCATGTATTTTTTCCATTTTTCTTTCACTTTTGAGGAGTAATAAACATAAGGATACTAGATTTAAGACAAACACTACTGAATTTTTACATATGTATATACATGTAAAACTACCAATAAAATCAAGATAGAGAGTATTTCCCTCCAGCAAGTTCCTGTACTGCTTCCCAGTAAGTCCTTTCTTTGCAGGAACTGTTTGAAGTTGGTGTCTACGGAAGTAGTAAAAAGAATATAGGTCTGAGTTCAAATCCCACTTCTGCCATTAGATGAGTAACCTTGAGAAAATTAGGTAAGAACAGAACTCATTTCTTCAACTGCTAAATTTGAATAAAACAATTTAAAATGGTATTAGAATGATTAAAAATATAGTCTCAAATGGCCTGCACATAAGAAGTACTTAAAAACTGCTGTTCCCCTCAACTCACCGGAGTATTCTTACATTCTTTCTTTGGCTTAATATTTAGTTGTGCACAAAAGTCATCTCCTAGCTCTGAGTTTCATTGTAAGCTTTGAACAAAACTGTTCTGAAGTACTTGCTACGGTAAGTAGTCAGCTTTATGAGAAATTACTTTCAAAGGAAACATCATGTTTTTTAAAAAAAGGTGAGAACTGTACCAGAAAAAAGTAAAATTTAAACGGCTCAAAAATAGGTATTATACTAGGCAAACAATGTAATAAAAAAGGACAGATCTTAGAACCACTACCTCTGGTAAGTGTTATGATAAACCATCTAGAAAACTATTTCATAAACCCAGCATACTTTCAGTTACCAATACAATTAGCCCTACTACAGCCATTCTCTTATGTAGACATAAGAGACTGTAGACATAGCCTATTAAAGCTCCTTGTATTTCTTTATGTTGAGTCTAAGAAGGAAACAGAGAAGTTTGATTATTTTATAGGTTCTCTTAAGTATATTTCAGCCTACGATCCAGAAGAAAGCTGATTTTTTTTTTAAGAGTAGGAAAATTTACTCGAGCGAAGGAATGGGGAATAGGATGGCTCCTGAAAGACGTGAGGGGTCCCAGATGGGTTGCCCAGAAAGCAGATTTAGAGCTTTGAGATTTGTGTGCTATCAATTTTTTCTTACCAAAAATCCAAAAACCTAATTTTGTATGAAGACTGTCTTTGGTAAAGCATAGCCTTTCTGGCAGAGGAGGAGGAATGAGGAATAAAAATATCTCCTTTTTAATGTACTGCTAAGGGCTGAAGTACAGACCTAACGTAGGCTAAGCACACAGTCTACCCCTAAGCTACACCTCCATAAGCATCTTATGTACAGAATACATTAAATAACATGACTTCACGTCTAAAAGTGGCAAATATGTACATATTTTACAGAACTTTGTCATGACTCAACCAGACTATTTAAAAGTACAGTATTAAAAACTTACCTGTTCTCCAATTAAAAGTATATTTTCAACCAGACTAAGTATTAAAACAACAAAACAAAAAACATACCTCCAGGTACTGGTAAAATACTGAAAACAGTGGCCATGTCCTCCCAAGCAGAAGAGCTAACATAGATTTAGCAGTATCAATATCAAGGCTTCTCTGATCTTTATCCTAAAATATGAATGAAAAAACTTTTCCTGAGTATGGTCACAATATAAAACTGTCAACAACTAAACATGAAGATTGCACCTACCCTTGCAAAATCGAAGGCATATCTGTATATATTCTTAAACGATGAAATATCATTCAGCTGTGAGCGTAAAAAGTCAAATTTGTTCTGTAACTTTTCTGTGCAATCACACCTTAAACAGAAAAACAGTCAAGAAAATGATAAATTATTTTATGAGGTTAAAAGTTATGCATCAAGAAAAAAAAGTGTAGATGAAGATAATTTAGCTCTAAAATTCTCTTACATGGTTAGAATAACAAACTTTGTTGCCTTGTATTTACCAATAAAATGAAAGGAAAAAGACAATAAAAGACATAACCTGGCTATTAATGAAAGTTTTCTGAAGACTTTTGTTTGAGGGGGGAAAAAAAACCTCCAATAAAAAAATTCTAATAAAATCACAAATATTTCTTAAAAAGAGATCATGAAGTGAAAAAAAAAGCACATAAGCCTCTGCCACATATTTCTTGGGAAACTTCTTAGGCAATGGCTTGGTAAAGGAGCCATGAATGGCTTTAAAAGTGTAGTATTAAGTGGCTCAGTCATAAATCTAAGTTTCCACATTTTAGTGAATAAAAAACTAAGATATCAGTACAAGCACCTAATTTCAAATAAGGTACAATATGCAAAGGCACGAAAACAAGTCATACATGTTATTTCTAAAGACGAAACTTAAACATGAGGAACTAGGTAGACAGAATGCTCAAAAGCGGTGAGTGGCTTTCTGATGCTCACTGGGTTGTTAGATTCTAAAATCTAGAGGCAGAAACAGAAACGCTTCATCTAGTGCAAATCTTCAGTCTCATTTCACCACTTCTGAATATCGTTACTATAGCTGTATTTCAATTACCATTCCCAAATGCCACCACATGAAGTGTGTTCCTCCCAACGTTCTGACAAAATACTACTCAAGATCTAACTCACACTCTACCTCCTCTGAGACCACCCAACTCCCACTGATTAAATCAGCTGTGCCATCTACTGCGACTCACAGTATTCCAGTCAATGCTGAATATTAGTACTTATGATATAATAGAGACAGATACCTGGCATTTTCAAATTTAGCTAAGACTTTCACTCTCCTAAACCAATGATGTCAGGGCCTACCATGTGTAGTAAGTTGTAATTTTACTAAGGTATACACATTGTGGATGCATTTCTAAAGATGATTAAATCTTGTACATTTGGAATATACCAACCCTTCTCTGCTGGTGGTATAGAGTGGGCTGGTGAAGAGTCAGGGCTTTCACCATTACCCAGTAGGAACAAGGCCTGCCCAGTGGGGTCAATGAAGGCTCTGTGGGAAACAGGCAGGCACTCCGACCCCTTTCAGACAAGATTATTAGTGGAGACTCAGAGGGAACCTTAACTCTTGCTTTTACTCCACCAAGCAGCAAGGAGCATCGCTTCTTGGATGTCAATGGGCGCAGAGTAAGATTCAGTTTCTACCTGCACCTGATAGGAATGAGGCCACAGTCGCTATTTCTTTTGCTAGAGTGGTATTACAAGAACCTAGCCAAAACAAAAGGCTTAAATGAGATCCAGAATTTCATAACATAATACCCAAAATGTTCAGTTTTCAATAAAAGGAAAATAATATATCATAGATCAAATATATCATGAATCAAAAGAAAACAGTAGTACCTATATTAACACCAGCTAATATAGACCTAGAGCAAAGAAAATGACCAGAGAGGAAGGGATAACTGTACAATGATAGAAGTGTAAATCTACCAGGAAGATACAGCAATACTAAACAATCATAATTAATATGTCCCAAATGGATGCAAAACGTGAAAAATAGCTAACAGAATTGAAGAAAAATAAAACAAATTCACAGTTTTAGTTGGAGATTTCAACACTTCTCTCTCAGAGACTGATAAGAAATTATAGTATCAGAAAAAATAGAAATAAGCAACAGCATCAACCAAAAGATTCTAGCTGACATTGATAGACTATTCAGTAACAATAAAACATATATACAAAGACCCAAAGAACATAAACTAAGACATGCCACAGCCTGAGCCATAACACAAACCTCGAAGACTAAAAGTAACTGAAATGATAGTGTGCTGCCTGGTCACAAGAGACTCAACCTAGAAATTAGTAACAGAAAGATAACAGCAAAATCTCTAAGAAACTCTCAGAAATTAAACCGTGAACTCCTAAATAATCCCTGGATACATTAAGTGTAAGAGGAAACAAAAAAGTGCATTAAACTGAAAATGAAAATGTAGTATTATAAAAATTTTAGGATGGGAATACAGCAATACCAAGAGGTAAAGTTTTAACAGATGCAAACATTAGACAGGAGAAAAAGTTTCAATCAATTTTCTATATGTGTAGTCTGGGAAAAGAGAAGAAAATAAGCACAAAGCAAGTAAGGAAGAAGAGCGAGCAGAAAATCAAAGAAATGGAAAACAGAAAAGAAACATGAAACCAAGAGCTCGTTTTTGGGAAGATCAATAAAATTTTTAGGTCTCTAGTAAGATGAATGCGGCAAACAAAAATTACCAACATTAGAAATGAAACAGACCTGAAGACATTAGAACTATAAGGTAACATACTGTAACTCTTCACATGAAATCTCGATGGCTTAGATGGAACAGACCAATTCTTGAAAAGTACAAATGCTATAACACACACAATATACAGTAAATTGATGAGCTCTGTAACTACTAAAGAGGTTGAATTCAAAATTCAAAAATTTCTAAAAAAGGAATCTGCAGGTTCAGATAGTTTCAGTAAAAAAGCCTGCCACACCTCTAAAACCTGCTTTAGCTGGGTGTAGAGGCTCACACCTGTAATCTCCGGGAGGCAGAGGCAGGAGAATCGAAGTTCCAGCCCAGCCTGGGCAGTCCAGTGACTTACCCTATCATAAAATAAAATAAAAATATTTTTAAAAATAAAATAAAATAAAGGTTTAAGGATGTAGCTCAATGCAAAGACCCTGGGTTCAATCTCCACTGCCACAAGGGTAAAAAAAAAAAGACCTATTCTATACAATTCTTTCAAAAAAAAATGACAGATAAGGAAAAAACTTCCACATTTATTTTATAAAGCCAGTATTACCTTGATGACAAAACCAGTATAGAAAAAATGAAAAGTCACATAAGCCATATAATCATACAATGTAGAAAAGCCTTGAAAAAATGTGACACCCATTCATAACAGAACTCTCAGAAAAAAGAAATATTTAGAGGTCAGTTCCCTCAAGTAAAAGCATCGATGAGCAACTTACTGCCAAATACTTAATTGGGAAAAGACTGAAATGTTTTCTAAGATGGTAGTAAGGAAAAGAGGTCCACTCTCAACACTCTTATTCAACATAGTAATAGAAGTTCTAGCAAATACAAGATATACAGATCAGAAGAATTAAATTGTGCCTATTTCCAGGAGGCATGACTGTCTAGGTAGAGACCCTAAGGAATTAAAAAAAAAAAAAAAAGAAAAAATCTGAACTAGCACATAAGTCCAGTAAAAGTCATGGGAAACAAAATAAACTAAACATAAGAAAATTAGTTTTATATCTGTAAGCAATGAATGTGTACATACTGAAATTAAAAATACAACACCATTCACAATGGCTTAAAATAAAAATGAAATGTATGTAATATTAACAAAGGATACACATCATATGTACACTGAAAACTAATGAAACAAATCAAACATCTAAACACAGGGAGGGCTGGCTCAGTGGCACAGAATTTGCCTAGCATGTAAGGCCTGAATCCACAGCACTACAAAAAGCAGCTATACTAAACAATCACAAGCAATTATATGTACATTTTTGAACGGCGAGATGTAGCTACCTTCCATACACTGAAGCGTCAAATAGTAAAGATACTAATTTTCTCCTAGTTCATCTACAGTTTATTTAAAATTGCAGCAAGACATTTTTTATAGATATAGAGAATATTCCAGCATTCATATGAAAAAGCAAAGGAACTAGAATAGCTACAACAATTTCTTTTAAAAAGATGAATCAATCCATTTGATTTCAAGGCTTGCTATACAGCAGTCATGGCTAAACTTTTACAGCTTGCAGTGATATAATCTGCTGTGGCACACGCCACTACTGCTAGATAACTACAGTACATCAGACCCGTAGCATTACACAAGGCTCGGACACATCAATGGAGCAGAACACAGAACCCAGAAACAGACCCACACAAATGTCTAATTGATTTTTGACAAAATAGCGGAAGTAATTCAATAGAGGAAAAACAGTTTTTCAACAAATGGTACTAGGACATGTGGCCAATCAGAGACAAAGAAACAAAGACCTCTAAGTCTCACACCTTAAATACAAATCTAGAAAAAATAGACAAAAGTTTTAGTATACAGAACTAGGCAAATAATTTTTAGACTTAATCCTAAAAATACAATCTATGAAAGAAAGTAAAAAATGGGACTGTCAAACTAAAAACCTGTGCTTAGTAAAAGATCTTGTTAAAAAAAATAAAACAGAAGATGCATAACAAAAAAAATATATGCAAACCACGTATTTAACACAGGACTCACTCATACATAAAATATATAGACAACTGCCAACACTCAAAAAAATTATTCTCAGGTCTGTTTGTCTCTTTATCTTTTTCCTCTGTACTCATTTTCTTAGATAGTACAGTTCACGGATTCTTTCTTCAACTACATTCATCCACTTTCTGTCTCATCCTCTAAGCTTTTTTAATGTTACTATTTTTCACTTCTAGAAATTATGTGAAATCTGGTCAGCCAGGACCACTCTCCTTTTTTCTTTGAATATGTAGATACTTTCTATTGAAATCAATAGCTCAAACAACTCATCTTACAGGTTCTGGTCCTGAAGTCTGTCTCTTAAGATTGATTTTAGTGATTTTTTAAATTTTAAACTAATGATCATGGAACTTTTTTCTGCAAAAATCAAGTATGTTTAAAATTCATTACTGTACTGTCAGGCTAGACCCTGAGCGGCGACCGAGACCACCAGGACAGGTAGGACTGCAGCAAACAGTAATATCTTTATTTCAGGTTGGATGCAACCTAGCCCAGGGTGAGAAAGCCGCTGGCCCAGAACAAAGGAAGGGGGCCTACTTTATAGACTACTTTAGGTATGGGAGGGGGAAATTCCACTGAAGAAGGTGGAAAGTT